TGTTTTTAAAGGATACAAATGTCCAAAAACTCTGTTATAGGTATTAGTAGTCAATAATAGTAAATCCAGGGTTTAAGCGTTCGAAAGTTAACGGAATTCAATAATTTCCAGAACTTCGTGGTGAGCAATAGCAAAGAAATGAAAGTTTTTTTCTCACACTTATCAATAGGCAAAAGATTTCAGTTCTCCTCAAGTTTGCTGAAGCCGTCTTCATCAAGCGCCTGAAATCTGATTTATGCGTTCAGAAAGGAGTCAGTATGTCTTTCCTTGCCAATTATTCTTCACTCAACATAAAGAACAAGATCCCGATTTTCAACACAAATGCAGACTTCCGGGTTGGCGCCCTCGGGACTCTAGGAATCAATGGCTGGAGACAATAGGTGACATGGCTCAAAATCGTTGTCAATGGCCAGCGCAGATGTATTCAGTCTCTGTAATCTTTCATATTCCTTTCTACCACTACCCATTCTGTTTCACTCTTATACTTGTCAGACTGTATTGATTCTCTTCACTCATCTTCTTGTCTACTTTTGTGTGCTATTTGGAACGTGGCAACTCGAACTGCTGCACTTCGGTGCCGAGTTCTATGTTGAATCCAGACAGACAGACAGACATAAATGTGAAGTTAGTTCTTCTTTATGAGTCAGAGATTTGGTAAGTCACGGAAAGGATTTCCCCCAACAAGCCATAGGAGACTTACATCAACAACTATCTACACCTGGTCAGAAAGAATTAGCAACCGAAAACTCTGGAAACGTACTGACCATTTAGTTAGAGTATGATAGAGTACAAAATCGTGCATGTCTAGACTTGGTCTTAACGGTACTACTACTTCAAGTTTATACATGTGTACTTTGAGTATAGGCCGTATTATGCATATAATCTTGGGGTGTGTAGTATATATGCCAATGGGTTCGACTTCGAGGCATATAAACTTGTGGGGAAAAACTATGTGTGAGTAACAAATTTATCTGCTTATAACTGAAAAGGAAAAAAAGAGGATTCTGTGAATATCTTCTACAGCACATATGGTTGGCTGTTTCGTGTTATGCCCCTATTTTGCATTATGCTATGCATGAAACATACACCTTAGTGTCTATGTCCAAACCAAGTTCACTTTTAACAGTTTGAAAAAAAAATTGGGCGTTGGGTGGTATCGGATATTCATTATAATAAAGGTTTTTTTGTATTTCCTAAATTGTTTCCATGCTCATTTTGTTCCCACCTGTAGTTCGTCCTATCCCTGCGTTTCTAAACCTCTTGTAATTCATATCAAGTCGAAAATAATTATCACCTTCGATCCGCCTTTAAAATTATTTCTTCAGTTATCAAATATTAATTTTTTGCATACGTTGTAACTTTTCTAATCCTATGAAATCTTGTCTCTAAGCAGCTCCTTGTAATCTATATTCGTACCTTCAAACTATCATATCAAGTTGAAAATTATTATCACCTTCGTTACTATGTGAAATTAAACAAATAATAATTCTATCCATGTTAAAATAATTAACATAAATGCGATTGTACAGCTTTTGAGAATGAAATCGCCGAAAAGATCGTCATCTTTGCTGAACTTCGTGTTCTCTTCTTTCTCATGTCCATATGGGTATTTCCTAATGAATGAATGAAAAACGATGCTCTTGTTTTTACTGACGTTTCACTATTTAATGTTGCTGATAATTGCTTTATCAAAGTACTATTATTAAACCGGAATTTACAAAATCTCCTCAGCTTATATATAACAAAGAGTTAAGAGGTGAGAAAATAGACAAGTTAGGTTAAGTTAAAAGGACATATTGAAAGTCAAAATAACAATGAAGATTAATCACTAAACCAAATAAAAAAGGTAACAGTACATCTGTGATGATATCAAAATAAAGTTTACTAACTTGATCATCGTTCGTCAGTCTGGGGTCATTTTTCGTTGTTAAGTTGTTCAACTGGTAGAGATAGCAAAGATTATCTAACTTATTGTGTCTATAAAATAAAATGTTTGCTTGGAATGTGTTCCGATATACATCGGACAAACGTCTCGAGAAATCGAAATCAGAAGTAATGAACACCGTAGAGTGAGCATCTCTTCGACCACCGAGAAATCCAGTTAGTGAACTAGAAAAACTTGAAAAATCATCAGCCATAGCTCGTCTACACGCTATAGAATCAGGCCACAAAATTGATTTCGACAATATTGAAATAATCCAGAGAGAGAGCATTTCAGCAATCACAAAGAAGGTCCAGTATCAGAAGCACTTCATATCAAGTGGAATCCAAATTGTCTGAGCTGAATAGGAAAGATGGACTAAAACAGAATCTGACCTGGCTACAACACCCACCTCCTCCATGAAGTGGCAAAATCAACACAAATGTGATATGCAAGTTCACCATGTAAACACCCACTGCTTTTATAACTTTACACACTTGGTTTTGTTATATTACCAAATGACCAACTTGACAACGAAAAATGACCCCAGACTGACGAACGATGATCAAGTTAGTAAACTTTGTTTTATTATTATTTTTTTTATTACAGCTTGATTTCACACTATATTTTTGGTACAAGTATGGAATTTTCAGCATGGATATCGGTAGCCCAAATTTTGCAGGCCGACCACAGATATCAGGTGTCCGTCGGTAGGGAATCGAACCTTGGACCATGTGCATGGTCGACCAGAGTACCAACCACTGTGCCACCGACGCACATATCATAACAGACGTACTATTACCTTTTTTATTGGGTTTAGTGATTAATCTTCATTGTTATTTTGACTTTCAATATGTCCTTTTAACTTGACCTCACTTGTCTATTTTCTCACCTCTTAACTCTTTGTTATATATAAGCTGAGGAGATTTTGTAAATTCCGGTTTAATAGTAGTACTTTGATAAAGCTATATTAGCAGCAACATTGAATAGCGAAACGTCAGTAAAAACAAGAGCATCGTTCTGTTTTTCATTCATTGGGAAATACAGAAACCTTTATTATAATGAATACATTAGTGTCTGTTTATATTACGTCATATAATGTGTGTAATGGCTGGTACATTATGATTATTTTGACGAGTGATTCACCACTCGGTGTATTTTATGCTGAGAGTTTTACGTAGACAAAATAAAAACAACAGAAGACATACATGTACATTTATTTTAATTGAATTTTGATTTTCCTAGTGACTCACTGTACCAAAATGTCCGGTGTCTGTTAACATATTAACACTTCCTAGTACGGATATATTTCGTCCTATTTGGGACTCATCATCGGAGCACCAAGTTCCAGTCTCACTGGGAACATCATCATCGTCTACTGAGAATGTAAGTGTACACCCAAATGACAAGTCCCAACTGGGACGAAATTCACATCCTAGTGGATTCTATTGCTAGTTACTCCACAGGCACCGTCGAGGCGTCTCTACTAGGAAGTGTCGATATGTCAACAGACGCTGAACATTTCGGTTTAAACAACCAAAGGGCAAAATCGAAATCCAATTTAAAATAAATAATAACTGATAGTCACTGCACAGTAGGTGGCTCTCATGTCTCAAGTGGTTTAGTTGATAACGCATTTAGCGTTTGAAGCGATGAGTAATGGGTTGTAGCCTCTGTCAGGAGTGGGGGGAGGGGGAACACCATCACCATCATCATTAGGAATCCAAGTGTACGTCCAGATGACGAGTCCCAAATGGGACGAAATGCGGTGTATCTTAGTGGTTTCAAATTGCAACACTCCGGATCATCATTGAACAAAGCTTAGGATGGCCGTCAGTCACCTCTCTATCTCAACTTCATAGACTTTGAAAAGGGCATCATCAGACAGCGTCGATCGAGAGGTCATTTGGCAACTACTGCGCTACTATGAGATGCCATCGACAATTAATACATCTCATCCAACAGTTATACGACAATGCTGGATGCCAAGTAATCCACGACGGGAAACTCACGGAATCCTTTGAAGAAGTGAGGACAAGCTGGCGGCCCACTACTATCTTCAATGAGTTTCCTGACTGCGGTAAACTGAATGATGCAAAGACAGCGGGCAGCGAGGAAACAGGCATAAAATAGACCCACACAAAACACTTGGAGGATCTGCAATTCGCCCGCGATGATATATGTCTGATTTCTCACAAACTGGAAGATATGCAAATGAAAAGCAACAAGTTGACAGTAGAAGCATCCCCAGAATAAAGGACCTCAGGTGAACAAAGAGAAAACAGAGGTGATGAAGATTCCTGGCCAACACCACCAGCAGCAACAACAACAGACAACAATCAGCCAGCATAAATGAGAGGAACCTGAAAGAAACAACCTCCTTTACCTACCTGGGAAGCATCGTTTCAACTACAGGCGAAGGGAACAGATGACGATATCAAAGCGAAGATCGGGAAAGCAAGGCAAGCTTTCATTACTCTCAAGTCTGTGTGGAGGTCAACAGCAATCAGAGACTTGGCGCGTCATAATGAGCACCTCAAACAAACTACAGACCCTCGTCGACAGCTGCCTTCGCTGAATAACACTCAAGATCAGATGGCCGGCCAGAAAAGATTAACAACAGGGATCTCTGAGAGGAAACCAACACAGCAGGAACCGATTGTGCAGCAAATAGGCAGAAAAAAATGTTGATAGATTGGATTGACCATACTCTGAGAAATCAAACCATCAAGTGATATCACTAGACAAACCCTCGAGTGGAACTCGAAAGGGAAGCGGAGAGTTGGTTGTCAGTGAAAGGGTAACCTGGAGGAGGTCATGTGAAGAGGAGATGAAAACATGTGGGTAGACTTGGAGCCAGGTGAAAACTTCTAGCAGAGAACCGAACGCAATGGAGAAGTTTGGCTGAAGCCCTATGTTCCTCTAGGAATTAAAGGAAATAATAATAATAATTGGTGGTTTCCACAGCTAGTCGTCATCTACCCTCCCCCTCCCCCCACACACACACAAACACAAACAAACAGATTCAACACTAGGAAAAGCGAAAGGCATATTATCCTCGAATATGACTAATACTAACCTGATGGACGAACAAGTGCCCATCTACGTTGACCAGCAGATATTGGTATTCTAGACGAATTTGAACCCAAACCAAAAGGAAAGTATGATCCAGAGATAAGTGAACTAGCTGCATAACTTGTTGAATTACGTGTATAATAATAAAATTGTTGATTGGTGGTTGTAGTATGCTTGCCAATTGAATGGAGTGGTGTGGTGTTGGTTGGTGTTGTTGCTGCTCCTGCCCCTGCCGCTGAATTCACTGTTGGATACAGTGTCATAGTAGATTTACGACGAGCAATATTTCCTAATGGTAATGGAGTTTGACAAGATGGTCCAGATAATGACAAGATACCACCACTGCCATTGCCACCGGCATAACCAGTACGACGATTCTTTGAAGAATTATAACCACGTAATCCACTTGACTGATGATAATTAGCTACACTCCAAGGACTTGATGAAGCCGATAGATTTGTATGCTGTCCATCGGACATAACAACATCCATCGCTATTGGGAAAAAGAACAAAACATTTTGTAGCAATTAATTAAACAATAATTAAAATAAATATTTTTTTAAAAAGGCGTATACATTGAATTATGCTAAGAGACTGTCCATTATATAATAATAATAATTTTTCCTTCACGTTCCCAGTGGAACATAGGGCTCCAAGCTAGTGGCTTGAAGTTTCTGTAGCAGTGTTTAATTTTTACAGGATGGGGTCGCTAGCCTCATGCCCAACCTTTCCTCTTTACCAGCATTATTTCTGACTTAGTGAGGTAAAGGAGTGCGCCGGCCGGGGATTGAACCCCGGACCATATGCATGGTCGGCGAGCGTGCTAACCGCTATACCACCGACGCACCGCCTGTATGATAATGAATGCAAATAAGTGAAAGTACTGCGTTATACTGTTTTCATCAGTTTGCATCAATGACAAATAAAAATTCTTTTCATACACACAGTTCCCCTGATAAATTTTGATAACGAAAGAAAGAATATTGAGAATTCTTTCCAACCAACTAAACAAGTTGAAGAGAAGACTAATTTTACCTAGAAATAACAAATGAGGAGGAAGGTAATTATTATCTTATGGTATTACAAGGCATCACCAATCTTAAGCGAAGATATTTTCGCATAAATGACTGAGAGTTCCCAAAGCAGGTTTGCGTCTAAATTGCCATTAAGTAATAAAAATTTGGACAATGATTTTATTTCTAAAATCTCTTAACAAAAAGGCAAGTTGACTATCTCTTAACGCTGACTAGTGAACTTATTGATGAAAGAAAGGAATGTAAGACCGCTATAACCTAAGGAGGACTACTGGTGGACTTGACGAGTGACTTTTCTAAAGATAATTGTTGTAGCTTTAATTAGATTACCTAGAAAAGAAGAGTGTTACGTTGAAATGAAACCCTTCGACATGGCCGTAAAATATCTCTAACACATTATATACACAAGACTTAAAAATCACAATTGTAATGAATAAGCAAAATATGTACAAAATATTCTTGCGAAAATATATATTGTTTACTGATACTCTCTATTTACCACCCAATTTCAGAACATAGCACAATGGAACACAAATTTCAGAGATCACATAAGCTCCTCTAACCTTTGTATTCCTTGTTCAAATCAAAAATAATTAAATAGAATAGCCATTGTAAACTGACAAGCAACAAAGCCACGGTGAATATATGAAAAGTATTACTCTACTGCGTAAAAACATAAGTTAATAAAGTCAAACCAAAAAACTTACTTGAATAGTATTGTCATTTATGGTTAGTTTTTGCATTTGACTTTATATATATATATATATATATTATATATTATATATTATATATAAAAGGAATATTGTTAAATATCTTGCGAGCAGAGCAAGATGACCGCCTACAAAAGGAATTTGAATATATTCACGATTTCTTGATGGAGATCGTCTATCCGAGTAGTTTCATAAAGAAAAATATGAAAACAGCACGCAAAAGCCTCTATTTATTAAGTTACAATTTAATGGTGACTTATCTAGTGAAATTTTATTCCAGAGACTTTCCAGGAGTATACGAAGAACATTTTGCGCTGCATACCTATGTTTGTCATTCTCTAGCCGACGAATGATTGGGACGCAAATGAAGGATAAGCTTGATAGTTTTGGCACATCTATGTGCATTTGTCAATTCAACTGCACCTGCGGTGACACTTATGTCGGGCGTACTACTAGACAGCTTATCCATCGTGTTAGGGAGCTCCCCAACCCATCGTGGTTTGGCAAAGGATAGACAAAAACAGTCCGTAGCTCCATTTTTTCACATTTAATTGATAGTGATCATGTAGTGGAGAAAACGAGAGCCTTCAAAGTAATTCATCGTATTCCCACCGAATCTTTCCAATAGACGTCGTATTCGTCTACTGTACACAGCTGAGGCAGATGATAGGCATTCGAACTATTAAACCTAAACTATGCATTCAAAAGACGTTCGTACAGCCATTATCCCTCACTTGTTGGCCTATTAAGACATAACCAACTAAAGACTTGTGCAAAGTTCTATGTCGAAAACAGACAGACAGACAGAAAGACTTTTACACCACCCCTTGTTTATATCTTCAACCCCTTTCTTATCATCCATTATTCTTCTCACATCTTCATTAAAAACGTGTCTCATTTACTTCCCTTACAATCAGTCTAGCATTACTTAATCGGTGTTTTTACTAGCCTTTATCGACTACTTCCACCTGAACACATTTGTTTGTTTAATCATGCTGTTTTTCATCAATATTCGTGTTATCACAGATTGCCTCACTTTTTTATCCTTATTATTGATAAAGCGATTATTATTATTACCATTATTATTATTATCACTACTACAATTATGACTAATTGCACAATTAATATTCACCATCTTATTATCCTATAGACAAAACACCATGATTGGTTTATATTTGAATTTTTATTTGTAAACTTGCATATATATATTAGAGTTATGCCTGATGAGATCTAATTGAAAACAATATTGTTCGTTTAAATGTGTTGTTCTAAGAGATTGTCGTCAACTTGAAAGACATTCGTGGTGACCAAGCGAATAGCAAGACAAGTAGAAGAACTACACTCATGTACAACACGGTTGTTTCTATGGTCAAAAATAAAAATAAAATCCCTGACCATATCCGATAACATTTCGAGCCACACCGACTCGATCTGTTTTTCGCACTTCAACTAGGGAGTTGTAATGTACCAACCGATGCTAATCCAACATAAATATTCTTTATTTCAGGATGCCATGTTATGGTCGAATCATCTCTCCGCTTTTTCCCTCCAGTCTTACAAGGCTAGCGACCTGAGAGTGGTACGGAAGCCTCTGGAATGATATTCGTAGCACACATCCAAGCCACCGAAGCCAGTGTTTCCAGATGACAAAAGTCAAAGAATGGTTATCTCCACTGTGTCCAAACACAACCACCGTCGAATTTCAGAATTACTCACGCGATGATGCCATCGAATGCAAACAATCCTAAGGAGACAGCGATGATCAAATACGCAGAGAGAGACAGCATGCACCGAAAAATTATAAACCCGACTTTTGACAGCCAGGCTAACGTCGCGACGGCGCCATAGGTAGCTCAAGTTGGTGTATGCCACCCTAACTTTCGTGATACGGTTAGAAATCTCAGCCGACACGCGCCTCTGCCAGCACTCATACAACTATCCAGATACACAAATTTGTCGACAAATTCGAGTGATTCACTTACCACAGTGAGTGAAGGCACAGGCTCCTGCCAATGTTTTAACAGTGCTTTGCACTCAGAAGGCGCAAAGCACACACCATACTTACAGACACCGATCACCAACTGATGAAGTGAGATTTGGGCAGCCTGCAGCATGCTATCGCACAGTAAGACGATATCGTCTGCATACTCGAGGTCGAAAAGTCTATCTCCAGGTAACAGATCTACACCACCTTCACGCACATACTTCAGAGCTGACTCCAGAATGTCATCGATGGCAAAGTGAAAGAGAAATGGAAAGATTGGACAACCCCGTCTAACCTCACTTTTGGTAGGGAACAGCGATGACAACTGGTTATATGCTCTCACTCTACCTAAGGTATTTCTCTGTATAGAGCTTTTCGGATGTTAACAAACCTCTCAGATACACTGCTGTCTACCAGACAGTTTCAGAGCACAGAGTTCTGTCCAACGAATCAAAGTTGGGCTTAATATCAAGAAACACGAAGATTGCCGGCCTGTAATAAGTGTAGCAGTGTTCCAAAAACTGATGAAGGGATGATCAATGCATCAATTAGAATTAATAAACAGAGGTAAATTTACTTAAGTGCAATGTACAACATAACTTACTTCGAGAGTGTGAAAGATTACATTCCTGTTGACAAACACCTTCGACACTATCTCGTCTACCTGTATTCATCAGAGAATTATGCACCTCCTTTAAACTAGAATCAATACAACACAGTCTTGATTTTTGTTCACCACTGAAACTTTGTGTTCTAATTCTTGAATGCCTGGATAACACTGGCAATGATGAAACATTATTAGCATTATTCATTATTAATATTTTGCTGATGATTAAACCATCAGATGTTTGATTATTTTCAGCACAACGTTCACGAACCGATGGAAGTGAAGAGATATTTGTAAAGTTCCCAGTGGTCCCATTATTATTAGGATTTGTAATATGATTTTTTGATGTAACACGTGATAACGAATTCTGTAAATGACTAATTGAATGCGTATTCGGTAGAGTAAGTGATTTTTTCTCAGAATACATCAAATTCCCTGATAATGACGATGATGCTGGCGGTACTAGTGGTGGTGAAGAGTAGGCGAGATAATTATCCCCGGTTGAACAATACTGCCATCTATCTAGACTACCAGTATGATACCGCTGTTGTTGTTGTTGTTGCCGATGATGACGACGACGGTCGACACCTCCTCTACTACTTCCATTAATCCTAGCATCATCAATATGACGAGATCCTCCAAGAGAAGGGACTAACAAACCACCGATACTGGAGGGTATAGTAGCAGTAGTTGTTATTGCAGATGTAACATCTTCTGATTCATTACTCAGTGATAAAGTCATCTTGTGCAATGAAGATGAAGCCGAAGAGGACGTAGTGGAGGAAGCGGAGCAGATTGATGCACGTCTAGCTTTAGCAACAGCTATAACAGTATTGATAGCGCTTAGTGTTGTACTACAATTAACTGATGGATCAATTATTAACGAGGATGTTGATGATGATGATGTCGACGTCGGATTTGTTCTACGTAAACGATTATCATTCAGTGTACTTGATGTATAGTCATTTAGAGTCGTTGTTGTCGATGTTGATATTGTTGTTGTTGCTGTTGATGATGTTAATCTTGTTGTGATAATTGAATCATTAGATTTGGCTAAACTTTCATTAAATAATTCATTAGTCATCGAAGGATGAATTTTGTTATACTTTATTCGATTATGAAGAGTATTATTATTATTATTAAATAAGGATGGTACTTGACAAAAAGGATAAACAATACGATAAATTGGAAGCGATGATTTTGTAGTTGTTGTTGTTGTGATTAATGTAGTCTGAGTACTATTCTTATCGTGACATTCCCCTGATAGTTCTCTGTAAAATCAAAAAATAGGGAAAAATGCTAATGTAATGTAATAACTACTACTACTACTACTACGACAACGACGACAAGACGGAGGTTACGAAAATAACCAACCAAACAACCAACCCACAACAACAGCAGCAACATCCAGTGCCAATCACCACCAACGGGAGGGATTTGAAAGAGGTTACTTCATTCACTCGCTTATCTAGGGAGCATTGTCTCAACCATAGGCAGTCGGAATGGACGAGGATGTCAAATCGAGCGAGAATCGGGAACAATCGCGAGAAACACACACATTCATCAACCTGAAACAACCAATCTGGAAATCTTCGTCACTCAGCATCAACAACAACAAAATCCAGTCGGATTTTCAATACAGATACGTACGGCAGTTCTTCTATACGGACCAGAAACTTGGCGGGCGGGTCACAAAGAATATTTCCAACAGCCTGTTGCAGACCTCTGTCGATAACTGTCTTCGCTAGCTCTATATCGAAGATCAGATGGGAACAAACAAAACAAGAACCAATCGCCCGACAAATATGCAGGAGAAAGCGGAGATGGATTAGACACTCGCTGAGGAGGCCGCTGGGTGATATCGCGCGAGCGTCAGGCCATTCCCCGAGTGGAAACCGAAAGGGAAGCGGTGAGTTCGTCGTCAACGCAAGGGCGACATGGATGAAATCGTGTGAAGAGGAGTTGAAACAGTATGGACTAGCATGGATGCAGGTGAAAAGTACAGCAGAAAACAGAAGTGGCAAGTGGAGCCCTTTCTTCCACTAGGAACCCAAGGGAACAATAATAATAATACTACAATTACTATTACTGACAGTTGTACACATTGAATACTCATCGAGAGAAAGGAGGGAAGGAAGGAAGATAAAAATGAAGTTAAAGCTTAGAAAAACAAAGAGACGGTGTGTGTGTGTGTTTGTGTGTGCGAATGGAGCTACTTCAACTCAACTCGGAAATTATTGATTTTCACAGTTGAACACTTGAACATCAGGTCAAGCGATTACTATCTACAATGACAGTAATCATAGCAATATTAGTCGTAGCATCTTGGTTTATTTCTGTCAAGTTAGATGAATTAAGTGCATCGGTGGTCCACTAGTAGAGGACTGGTTCACCCCGGGAATGGTACCGGGGGTTCTATCCCCATGCAACTGACACACTCCTTTACCTCGCTTATGAGGTAGTAGTATGCCAGACAAAGAGGGAAGGTTTAGGTGTCAGGCTAGTAACCCCACTCCTACAAAACACTAGTGCTACTGTAAATTCTATGAAAATGTCTACAGTATTCATAGACATCAGTTGCAATGCAGTCTAGCCTTGTTAACAAATGGCACAGGTGGCACAGCAGTAGAGTACTCACCGACCATGTTTAATGTGGTCCGGGGTTCGATCCTTGGCCACCAACGCACTCCTTTACCTCGCTCACTAAGCCAGTAGTAAGACTGGCGAAGAGGGAAGGTCGGGCATGAAGCTGGCTAGCAACCCCTTCCCGTAAAAATAAAAACATCACCACTACAGAAACTTCAAGCCTCTAGTTTGAAGCCTCCCTAAGTTCCACTGGGAACGTAAAGGAATAAATAAAAATAAAACAGATGAATTAAACGAATGGAAATAATGTTCCCTGTTAAAAGAATGCGAACGAAGGTAGGGTATATATATATGCATACAAATAACATAAAACATAAGAATCGTTACAGGTCTACGAGCTCGTCTTGTAACTCGAAAGTCCTGGGTACAAAGCCTGGTGGTGGGGTGCGCACGGCTGAAGGGTAGGTCCCGAATTAAGAAGAAACAGCTGTGCAATAGTACTAGCTGGTTTTCCAATGGTTCTCTAATCGATGTCCGTTCATGAAGAAATCCTGTAACCAAACAATCAAATCCCTACAAACCGATCCTTGAACACAAGATTTGGATTTATAACACGAATGTTAAGTGAGTCAGTTCTTCTATACGGGTAAGAAACTTGGCCAGCACTCCCATCACAAAAAAAAACATTTACAACAGCCTACTGTAGACCTTCATCAACAGCTACCCTCTTAGAAAGCTCCATATTGGAGAACAAATGACCAGTAGAAAGAATTGGAAACAATAAACACTGCAAATGAACCAACCAAAAACCCATTGGTCAACAAATATCCCCAAAGGAAATGGATTGCACATACGCTGGGTACACCATCAAATGACACATCGCGTGCCAGGCCCGATTTAGTGGAACCTGAATGCGGAACGAAGAGTGAGTGATATGGAGAGGATAGTGAGAGCAGGCGATGGGAGACGATGCACAATCGTCGGAGTAGCTAGAGTGAACTGCAGAGAATAGGAAAAGTGAGGATGTTCTATTGTGAAGCCTTTTGATCCACTCGGAACCCGAGGTAACAATAAATAATATATGTATGTGATCCGTTATGTGTGAACATTTATAAATATATAACTAATATTCTGTACAATTCTTTGGATAAATTGTATGTTGAAGTTCCTGGGACTGATACAATTGGTCGTAAGGGGATATATATGGCTTGTGTATTTTGGGCCTGCCGTAGAATCTGGGTAGGACTGGTCCACTGGATTTTATTCGCTATCGTTCTTGTTTTATGATCTGACCTGTTTTGGTGAGCTTGTTTAAGGTTCTTTAGATGCGGTTGTTTAATGTTTTTATGGGATTTGTCGGGAGTTCTTGATGTAGTTCTTCAGATTTCTTGTCGTACTCTTCTCTTCTTATCTGACTACTGTTGTTCTTCTTTAATCAGTTGGTAGAATGACGCTGTCCTCCTTATTTTTCAGCTTTTTGAAAGCCTTTAGTTTTTGAGAGTTGAACTGTGTGTGTGTGTTGTTTTTTCTGTTTGACCATTGGTACGATTGTCTAACATATCTCTTCCTATGTTTCCTCGTTCAAGTTTGATAATTTGTGTAATGATTCAAAGGCAGCGAAGATGGACATGAGTTCCTTCAGGGTTGCAGGTACGCCTCCCTCACTGGTGAGTGCCAACTATAGCACGAAACCTAGGTCTAAGGCCTCCTATCGATTGCCTCCGACCATCTAATATCAACAATTCACAGTGCACCATGATGGAGAGCCACCCAGTGAGTGGTATGGTGGCCACATTGCAAACTTGACTGATAGGATTCAATTTGCACCAAAGATAGGACTAGACACACGCATTACACTAGTTACTGACTAATGTCCAATAAAAACAAAATAAAACAACGTATATATGTGTGTGTGTGTGAGTGGTTAAAATGACATTACTCATTGTGATTTTCCAGGTGACCACCACCACCGTTGATCGGCTGAATCTCTTCAGTATTCTTGGAAAGCAGGAAATCGTCTGAATCCTTGAAAGAAACAACCTGTGCAGGGAAAATACATAGAATAAAGTCAAAACATAATAGGAAAAGAATGCAGACAGAAGGAAGACATATGCCCTAAAAAATCAAGATGACTGTAGTAGCTAGCTGTAGGAGTTGTGTCTGTAGAAAGATTTTATTTTTGGCTAGGAGATTCCACAAAGTAGGTAGTGATGGGAGGCGAGGGCATTATAATTCGAGTCAATCTGTCTTAACTTTTCTCCCCAGTACAAAGAGACGGACAGCATAACTGGCTTTCGGGTAGTCCTAGGAAAACGCTTGACTATCATTAAACGCCTGTTTGCACGGACAATATTATTTAACCCTTCGAACTACAACATAGTGAAAAAGTACACTATGATGATAGTTGATTTTAGTCTTGTATTCCACCTATTTTTCTTTATTGTTAACCCCCCCCCTCATCCTTATTCTTCCTTGGACTTCTCAGGAAGGATTATGTCATATTACGTAGAACACTGAACGCTGTAAGTAGGATTAGTGGTATGCTTGCTCCATTTGAGTCAAAGCTCAACTAACTGACACTGTTGTGTTGAGAGGAGTACTGTCTGGTTCTTAGACAACTATCGAATCGAATGTGGAAACACTGAGCCCCTATCATACGGTTGATGGATTCCTCCTACATAAGAACGAAAAGTCATCTTAAAAAAAATAATCGCAACGTTTGAATGTTGATCGTTCATTAAACTACCTATTCTGCTGGACAAATTTCATCGCCATGCCATATTTACAAAACTAGGAATAAACTGAAATGAGACGACACTAATGGAAAGTCACAACCACAGACAGACCACTTATTAGCCCAAGATATTGGCTACCGCTGTATGTATCGCGAATTGGCAGATGATGGAATTTATAGGCTGACTATTGGATCGGGTCCCAGTTGTTGAATAGTCTACAAAAAGCCAGCTTGCCTTGTAAGCAGAAGGCCCTGAGTTTGAACCCTGATTGTGGGTGAGTACTGTCGAAGAGTCTCACATTAGGAGAAAAAATCTGTTCAATAGTTTCAAGTTTCTCAATGATTCCTATAACTATTTAAATGAATTTTAGATTTTCCTGTCGATTGATTGGCCCGAAGTGCTCCGTCTCAGATTGACATGTCGGCTTCTTCTACAGATGCTTCGACGATGTCTTGGCATGCAATCAGAAGTTAATGAGTAGATGGTGACTAGCAGTGGAATCCACCAGGATGCACGTTTCGTCCTGTTTAGGACCCATCATCCTGATGTACCTCGGTGGGAACATCATCACTCGCTGGGGAATGCAAGTACATCCAGATGACGAGTCCCAAATAGAATGAAGTGCGCGTTGTCCTGGATTCCACTGCCAGCCACCATCCACCAATTAGATTCCTATAACTTATGCAGACTTGTGATCAAAGCTGTAACCAATCGAATGCCTGCAAACCAACATTTGATAAAATAATTTCGCAATACAAACTATACTACTATAAGTAGGCAGTATTATTCAAACGCAAATAATAAACCAGACTTACTTTAACACGTGGGAACGGTTTACCCATTTCAATGTAACGTAATTCTTGGGCTGATTTGAAATAGCTATCAGTGAAGGAAACAAGTTATATATGGGAGGTCAAAACATACCTGCAGTTAATCCAATGAGGTGCAATATATTCTTCTGGATTAATGAAGGATTCGGATAGTATCTAAATAGCATGGGAAAAACTGAATGTTTAGCTACAACCATTGCAGCAAATTTAGTACTGTGACATGTGTTACCGATAAGATTTATAGCATGGAAAGCGATTTGATGTCGGGGAAAGAAAATGATACAGGAATGCAGATATGAACGGGAGGCATGAAAGGAACACAAAGGAAGACAATATGAAGGCGAGGCGAAAAGTAGCATAACATGGAATATTTGTCAGAATGGTGATTTTCAGATAAGGTGTACATAATTTCGCTATATACCCATGCAGAATGGCAAATAATCATTCCTTTACCAAGCTGATTAGCTCCCGCAAAATATAAGATGATGGTACGGGACTGGACTACATTGAACCCTAGCTAAGAAATATGGAGTGAAGTGGCTGGTGAAGCATGTTGACCACTTCATTTATTTGGGAAGCTGCATCAGGCAGTACCAACGGGTTGATTGCTGACGAAATATCTCCACGGATATAGAAGGCTAGTTTCGCATATGCCGACTTCGACCATTTCTGACGTAGACGTGATATCCGGCTATCAACCAAAGGACATGTGTACTGCTCAGCAGTCCGCTCTGTCCTCCTTTATGGCTGTGAGCGATGCATGGCCATTGAGAGTGGAAGACGTAAAAAGGTTGGCTAGCTGTCTTTGATCATACGTGCCTCGGTTCTATCTCCCGTGTGAAGAGGTATAGTAGGGTGAGTAATATTGAGATTAGATATCAGTCAAGTGCTAGGTAAGGAGGGGAAATCAATAAACGAGGCTGTGAAGCCACATCGACTGAGATGGTTAGAACATGTGTTACGCATGCCTATTCATCGCCTTCCTCGATGGGCAATGTTAGCTGACATAAGGTCAGGTTAGAAAAGAGCTAGCTAGTTTTTGATGTGGTTTTGTTCTCTGAGCTGGATGGTTAATTTGCGAAGCTTTCATCACCCTACTGGGTGACATCTTCAGTGCATACTTCAATTTGAAGTGAGCTTTTAGATTTCTCCACGAGTTTATTAATCATCTCTCCTGGTGACCTTGGACGTGATTGGTTGTTTGTGTGTGTTTTCACATCTTCTAGGTTACTTGTATTAGAACTGACTGTTTCTTTGACTTGAACTTTGACCCTATGTGTGTAAGATTTCCTTCTTATCTTGGTGAGTTTTGTCTATGTCGATGTGTCTATTGATTGATAATTCACTGGAATGCCAAGCTTCTAAAAATTCTCTAGCATTCTTCTTATTTCCTTTGTCTAATATTTGAACGTTGTCCCAGTCGAATTGATGCCCGTGGTTGTCTGTATGTAGTGATATGTGGGAGTGGATATCATGTCTTTTGACGGCTAACTTATGTTCGTGGATACGAAGACGAAGGGGACGTCCACTTTGACCAATGTAGTGTTTTTCGCAGTTGTTACAATTTATTTTGTAGATGATGTTGGTTTTATCTTCTTTCGCTGTTGAGTCTTTTGGTTGACATGTAGCCAGCTGAATGAAGTGATTTTGTTGGTTTGTGTGAGACGTCAATTGCTCATCAAGGTTTGAAGAGTTTTGTAGTGATTTCTGAGATATCCTTTATGTATGGTAAGGCAATTTTCTTTGTGTTCTCCTTGGTGGCTTTTGCTTTGGTAGGTTGGCTTGGAGGTATATGTTTGTTGATGAAATTCCGTGGATATCCATTCTTTTGGAAGACGTCCATGAGATAATTTTCTTCAATTTTCCTTAAGGTGGGAGTGCTGCAGTGAGTCCTTGCTCTCTTCAATAGCTAACTAGTGGTGGTCAAACCAAAACAAGACACTTGTCAATGAAATCCACACACAGTTAGTTTAAGGTAGCCACGTAGGAAGGTGTAAACTTCTTGGATGGCGTTCTCGGGACGTTAAACACCAATCGCTGGAGACAACTGGTGATATGGCTGGCTCACAATCGTTCTCAATGGGTGCCGCAGATGCATCCACTCCTTGTGACTTATAATTTCCAATAAAACTATATTGTTCTTCGCCATTACCATCCTTTTTGCCTCATATCTCTGTTGACTATCTTTATTTCGGGTTTCTTCTAACTTTATTCTTCTCTGGCTTTGTATGCTCAGTGAAGTGCGGCGACCCGAACTGCTGCACATCGCTGCAAAGTTATATGTTGTAAACAGACAGACAGATAGGTTTAGAAACCTATATTGTCTTTATAGATGCCCAACAGCAGTGTTGAGGTAATTTTTTTAAGTTTCTGACGTTACTATTGTTGCATAGACTATACAGTGGACAAGCGTCGTTTCGCTATCCTTAGAGCGTTTTTTGACTGTGTATATGTCTGAAGGATGCTTTTGGTCAGCTACACAGTAAGACGCAGATATCAATTCCCTGCGTTCAGACCACAATCAGTCGGTTTTGGTTACCAGATAATGAAGTCCATTAACAACTCATAAGTGAGGAATAGACAATGTAACATTTGTACATTCTACATAACTGATTGAATACCAAACTAATGATTTGCCTATAGTAAACCAACATGCGTCGTTGGCACAGAAGTAGAATGCTCGCCGACCACACCTAATGTGGTTCCAGGTTCAATCCCCGGCCACCGACTCATTCCTTTACCTCGCTCACTAAGCCGGTAATAAGACTGGTAAAGAGGGAAAATTGGACATGAGGCTAGCTAGCAACCCCATCTCGTAAAAATAAAAACACCAGTACTACAGAAACTTCAAGCCTCTAGCTTAAAGCAGCCCTACGTTCCACTGGGAACGTAAAGGATTAGTAAGTAAGTAAGTAAGTGAGCCAATGAAATACTCAACAGAATATTGTGTTCTTGTTTTCAAGAACTTTTAGGCAATCCATACACACACTAGGGGAATCGAGTCTACAACGTTCCATGTACGAGAGGCGTATGAACTATCCAACCCTTTAAAAAATCTAAATGTTGAACTATCCATATTTTCTAAAAATGCTTGCTAAAAGTTGAAATAAACTCACTTTAAATAACGGAACTGCATGAAGAGGTTGCTCTGCCAGACAGATTAAATCAACTCCAACACCTAAATATAGGATAAGAGACATAAAATATGAGAATCAAAAAAGTCTGCATAAAACAGGTGGTAGTATTTAACTTTCCATGATTCATTTGTGCAGCGACTTGAGATGACCTGTGTGTGTGTGTGTGTGTGTGTGTGAATAAAAACCCAATATCAAGTTTTGGTTTGTTGAGGTTTGATTTGCTACAGCTTCGGTGGTCACGAGTTGACATCAGTTAGAGGAATATTGAAATACCTGAGAACATTGTTTCGCGCGAGTCTTTAGCACTATTCCCCCGCTACCACGGTTCGATTTCAGGACCTTCCACTTACAAGGAAAGCTCGTAGAATATTCAGCTACTGGGACTCAATTCAGTGACCCGTCAAATCCAACGTCTACCATTTCACGATATATATATATATATATATATAAAGCGCAACTACTAACCAACGTCACAGACGTACTGCAGAAGAGTCCCAAGCAAGGACGTAACAGTTATCCAGTACTCCCAAGTTTCCAATGGTTCTCTAACTGATGTCTACTAGTACTCAAACTTAAAACTCACTATACCAAATTAATATTACCAATGGTTTCCACAAACTAGGTGACATTATAAACCTCAAGAGTTGAAATGATACCTGTTTCAAAATACTGTCTGTCTGTCTATCTATCTGTTTTCGACATAGAACTTTGCACAAATGTGCCACAGTTCAAGTCGCCACACTGCCCCCTTGGAGCACACGAAGCAACAGAAGAAAGTACAAGAAAAGCATAATAGAGACAGTGAGCAGAGGTGTGAGACAAAGGAGGAGTAATAACGAAGAACAAAACAGTTTCATTGGAGATCATAAGTCACAAGGAGTGGATGCATCTGCGCTGGCCACTGAGAACGATTTTGAGCCATGTCACCAATTGTTTCCAGCCATTGATTTTTACCGTCCCGAGGACCCCACCCAGGAAGTCTACACCTTCCTACGTGGCTTAGACCAACTGTTGTGGATTTCATTGACTGGTAAGGCCAAGTTTTTGTTTGACCTCCGCTAGCTTTTTTCCAGCCTGACCCTATATCCACTAACAATGCTCGTCGAGGGAGGCGATGGCTTGGCATGCATACGTAACACATGTCCTAACCATCTCAGTCTTTGTAACTTCACGACTTCGTCGATTGATTTTCCCTCCTTACCTAGAACTCTACGCCTAACTTTAATGTTGCTCACCTTATTATGTCACTTTACACGGGAAATAGAGCGCGGGCATCTATGATCAAAGACAGATAGTCTTTTCATGTCTTCCACTCTCAGTGGCCAGGTCTCACAACCATAAAGGAGGACGGAGCGGACTGATGAGCAGTATACCCGCCCTTTGGTCGATAGTCGAACATCTCGTCTACGCCAGAGTCGGTGTAAACTGGCGAATGCGAAACGAGCCCCCTGTATTCGTGCTGAGATTTCGTCAGAGATCAGCCCGTTGGCATTGGCTGATGGTACTTCCCAAATAAGTGAAGCGGTCAACGTGCTCTACCACTTCACTTCCTATTTTTAAACTAGGCGTCGATGTAGTCCAGTCTTGTATCATCATCTTGCATTTGGCGGGAGCGAATCGCATGCCAAACATTCGTAGATTGCGGCTCAAGGTGTTTAGAAGGATCTGCATTTCGTCAGCGTCTTCGCCTAGAAGGACTATATCGTCTGCATAAATACTGGTCGCATTCATGTAAACAGAAGGTTCAGAGTGATTCATGAGGATGAACATACAGATCTAACTACAGAAGATATAATTCCCAACTTGTAAAGAAAGAAAAAACGTTGTGAATATCATTACTTGTGCAGAAAAAAAGGAACTCTACATAAACCAGGATCTCAAGGGGGGGGGGGAATTTAACCTGAAATATCTTTAAGCGAAGAATTTCACCAACGCTATATGTCAAATGTTTCAAAACGGAAGACTCAGAGGATGCTTCAAAGGGTAGACAAGGGTAAAACCAATCGATCAGCCTGCTATCACTGATTATACACCTAATCATAGTGGACTGGATTTTGTGGCGCGCACCATCAGTGGGGAAAGAGAGACAGGTATACGTTGGACCACCGATAAGAAGACTCTAGAGGGTCTAGATTACGCAGAAGACTTATGTCTAATGTCAAAAAAAAACTCGAAGACTTACAGAAGAAAACCAACAAACTGGCAGAAGAGACAGACAGAGAAGACAGGTCTCCATAGAAACATGGAGAAGACAGAGGTGATGAAGATAACCCAACCAACGAAATCAACGAACATCAATCACTATCAAAGGAATATGTGAACTTCGCGGTAGGATAAACAACAAAAAATTCGAATTCTCAACACCAGTGTCAAATGAGTCAGTCAGTTCTTCTGCATGGATCACAAACTGGGCCAGCACGTCAAGAAAATCATTCCCAACAAGCTACTGCAAATTTTCATCAACAACAACCCACTTCACTGGCTCTCCGTAACGAAAGTCAAATAGCCAGTTGACCAGAAAGAATTAGGGAACAAAGAACTCCGTGAACGAACCAATCAAGAACTCATTGTGTTCCACACATATTCCGAAGAAAATGGAGATGGGGATAGGGTACACACACACACTCTGTGAGGAGGCCGTCGAGTGACATCAGAGCTGCCAAGTCATCACCCGAATGGGAAACGACAAGTTGGACATGGAGAAAATGAGAACCTATGGGCAATCAAAGCGGATGCCCGGCGCTCTCCACCGGGTTGACTGTCCATTGGATGACAGTCTAGGGGAGACGGCTAAACCCTGATTCCAAACCTCCAACGACTGGCGTATGAAGCTCACTGGAGCTCACCGGCAGACGTATGGACAAAGGGCTTGTTGGATGTCCTGGATGTCTGGCCCCATTCAAAAAGGCGTATGAGCCGAACTCCGGTCACCGGCTGCCAATGGATAGTGGACTCCCTACTCCACTCCTACTGCCTTGTAGGTCACACTTGGCTGTGTAAAGGCTAGAGCTGCACTCTCAAACAAAAGGCCGAGCGATGCTGGGGACATCACTCGTACCAAATTCCCATGAAACTTCATGAACTCTCTTACAAATTGCCGCGCCTGGGCAGCGATGATTCGAGACGTTCATGAAGCCGGCTCATCCTCCCGTAGGAGATAGCCGAAGTAAAGTAAGTAAGTAATCATGATTCCAGATGAGGAGGACTGTAGAGCGTGGAAAAAAAATGCAGGAGTGCTATTTCATCCCTATATTCCATATTGGGAACCTAAGGGAACAATCATAATAATAATAATACTCATATTTCTGATAATATGAACAATAATATAATTTTTTTTTTGCTTACCCAAATCAAGAACTCTTTTCTTGGTTAACATGAGAAGATTTTCGTTGACATGATATACACCTGAGCCTGGTGTTATAACAAATAAAAGTTTTCCCGTACGATCAAAATTTCGATCAACATTATATCCCGAATAAACTAAAAGTATCAATCAAAATATGCGGGGGAAAAAAAGGGTAAGAATACTTCAATTGACGGTGAACTGAAGAATTCCGCTGAACAAAAAAAAAGAAATAATCTTGTAAAGAATAATAGTCATGAGCAATGAGATTTATATTTTATGGAGTGGGGTTGCAAACACCATGAGAAATTATCGCCTTTTCACAGAGATTACTACCGGCATTGGAGACCGGAGATCGAATCCTGGAGCATGTGCGTCCGCAGTAATATGAATTATAATTAGTAAGACAACTGAGACCCAAGGGGGTGATTGAAGGTCAGACAATATTAGATCAGAATTGATTTTATTAACCGTTTATGTTGAAACTGAGTTGCTCATTTTAAGTGGTACTACTAATGAGTAAGTAATAAGCAGCGTGAAGATAAAATAAACACTGCTAGCTAATGACAGTAATTCGATCGATGAGATTGTGAAGCCTCAAAGAGATACGTGAACTGGAATCGCATTCGGATAGACTTCAAACAAAACGTCAAAGTAGCCAATCAAATCCCTGCAAACCAACAAGTGAATATTAATCATTCTGATGTTCACTAGCAGCTGGCCATATTCAAATAGGTAATTTCCTGGGTTCTAGAGGGAATTCGTGACCGGTGGGGTACAGCAGGTCTGGTGTGAGAACAAATACTCGCCACCGATGACATAGGCTAATGGTCGCCCTACATCTTGAATTAGCAGAAGTTGAGATTCGTGGGCTGGCCATTGAATCGAGTCCTAGTGGCTGAAGGGTCTATGAACCAGCTCGCTGGTTCTGGGGTTCAAACCACTGTGGTAGGTGCGTACTGATGAAGAGTCACAAAATAGGACGAAACAAATGTCGAGTACTCCCTGCTGGTTTCCCAATGGTTCCCTAACACTGATATCCACTCATGATCGAACCCGTAACCAAGCATATCCCCGCAAATCAATACTTGAAAGTACAAAGTTATTGACTTTTAATGTGGACAACGCAAGCAGGCGTAGATTGACAGACTGGTGTCTTCCGAATACTACACATCAAAGGTTGAAGAATCTTGGCGAGATGTATTTGTGTTTTATGTTATTCCTTTACATTCTTAGTGGAACATATGGGGCTTCAGGCTAGAGGCTTGAAGTTTCAGTCGCAGTGGGGCTTATTGTTACAGGGATGGGGCGGACTGGTAGCCTCATCATGCCCAACGCTCACTCTTTACCGGTATTATTACCGGCGGCCGGGGACCAAACCCTAAAGCACGTGAGTCACAGTTGCTCCTTCACATTATAATGAGAAAATATTTAGATTATAGATTTATTTCAACCCACAATCTAAATATCAATCTTCAGCTCATTGATGGCTATTGGATAGATGTCTTGAAGGTGTCTGTCTGGATTCAACATAGAACCGAGGTGCAGCAGTTCGAGTTGCCACCTTCCAAATAGCACACAAAAGTAGACAAGAAGATGAGTGAAGAGAATCAATACAGTCTGACAAGTATGAGAGTGAAACAGAATGGGTAATTGTAGAAAGGAATATGAAAGATTACAGAGACTAAATACATCTGCGCTGGCCATTGACAACGATTTTGAGCCATGTCACCTATTATCTCCAGCCATTGATCCCTAGAGTCCCGAGGGCCCCAACCCGGAAGTCTGCATCTCCCTCCCTACCTGACTCAGTTTAACTGTCAAGGATTTCATGGATTGATGCCATGTTTTTGTTTGGCCACCACTTACTCTTTTCCAACCTGCACCGCCTATATCAGCTAGTAATGCCCGTCGGGGGAGGCGATGGTTAGGCATGCGCAGTACGTGACCTAGCCATCTCAATCTATGTAACTTTATAGCCTCGTCGATTGATTTTCCCTCTTTGCCCAACACTCTACGCCTAACGTCAACATTACTTATCTTGTGAAACCACCTAACGTGAGACAGAGATCGCAGACATCTATGATCGAAAGCAGTCAACCTTTTCATGTCTTCAACGCGTATTGGCCATGTTTCAGAGCCATAGAGAAGGACGGAGCGAACTGCTGAGCAGTACACACGTCCCTTGGTTGATAGCCGGATGTCACGCCTACGCCAGAGGTGGTGTAAGTCAGCGAAAGCAGCTCGAGCTTTTCGGATCCGTGCTGAGATTTCATCGCCAATCAGTCCGTTGGTGCTAATACAACTTCCCAAATAGGTGAAGTGGTCAACACGTTCTATCACTTCACTCCCTATCACTAAGTTAGGGGTTGACATAGTCCAGTCCTGTAGCAGCATCTTACATTTTGCAGGGGCGAATCGCATGCCAAACATACGAAGATTGCTGCTCAAGGTGTTCAGAAGACTCTGCATTTTGTCACCATCCTCCCCTAACAGGACTATGTCATCTGCATATTCTAAGTCCATAAGACTATTCCCTGGTAACAAGTCGATTCCTCAGTAGTTAACTTCAGTTGAGGATACTTCCATCACCATATCTATGATGAAGTTAAACAGAAATGGGGAAAGTGGACATCCCTGTCGGACACCACTGGTTATTATCAATTCAGATGACAATTCCCCATAAGCTCTTCCACGGCTATATGAGTTTGAATAGAGTGCCTTGATTAGTGCAATGTACTTTCTTGGTACTCCCTTCACAGTCAGACATTGCCATAGTACCTTTCGATCCACTGAGTCGAAGGCCGCCTTCAAGTCAAGAAATATGGCAATTGTTGGACGCCGAAAAGTGTGTCTATGTTGTAGAATCTGTTGGAGAGTGAAGATATGATCTATGCACCCTCTACCTGGTCTAAAGTCTGCTTGATTTTCCCTTGTCTGTTCCTCCCGGGTTCTGCTTAGTCTATGCATGATTACTGAGCCTAGGATTTTAGAGACTATGTTCGTTAGGCTGATCCCCCTGTGATTATCACACGAGGACTTGTTTTGTTTCTTGAATATCGGTATAATAAGTGACTTACCCCAGTTTGATGGAACTGTCTCTGAATCCCAGACTTTGCCTAGTACCTCAGTTAATCTACAAACTAGTATGTCACCCCCATGTTTAAACACCTCCGGAATAATTCCGTCGGGTCCTGCAGCTTGGTCTCGTTTCAAATTACTGATAGCTTTTATGACCTCACTTACAGACGGCGGACCAGTGTCTATATCCCATTCGGGTGTGTGCTGGATGTCGGGGAGGTTCAGTGTGGCTGTAGGCAAGTTAAATTGTTCCTCAAAGTGTTCTTTCCAGCGTTCAAGGCGTCTATCCTGAGAGCTAATTAAGGAACCATTTTTCTCAGAAATAGTCTCACTTCTGATTTGCCTTCTCCCACCCGTTTCCCTGATGAGTCTAAATAGTTGCCTAGTGTTCCCTATCGCCGATGCTTCTTCCATCTCTTTCGCCTTTGTCACCCACCACTGTTCACGGTCTTTGCGGAGACTTTTCGTAAGTTTCCTCTTGTGCAGCTTTCGCTCCTCATTGAATTCGGAGCTCGCCGGAATAAGTCTTCTAGCATCTATCAGTTCGAATGACGCAGTCGAAATCCAATGGTTTTTACTCACCTTTGGATTTACCTAATTCACAGCTTTTACAGCTGTATCTATGGATGCCTTCCACGGTGTGGGCAGCCGGGAAGTAACAATCGCCCTCACAATCCAAAACGCACACAAAACCTCTCTAATCCTCACTTATCTTTGTCTTCATCTTCATCTCTATTACCTTACCTTCCCCCCAGTGATGCAACTCCTCTACTTGATGGCTCCTCACTCCCTCTTCACTCTGTGTCCACTAAAAACGACGAAAGCCAAAAAACCACCACGGATAGTCTCCTAAAGCCACGCCACCAATTTCATATAGGAGCATTTAATGTAAGGACACTTTGCCAAATAGGACAACAAGCATCACTAGCTAAGACCCTGGCATCTCGAGCCATTGATGTATGTTGTGTTTCAGAAACACGCATACAAGACCCAAGTGTGGTTATTCACCTAACCCCACCTGGCCAACAGGATGAATCTTCAAAATTCACCTTGAGGGTGTCAGGAGATGCCACAGCTAGTTCACGGGGATTAGCTGGCGTAGGGATAGCTCTGAGTACTAGGGCAGAAAAGACATTGCTTGACTGGATCCCAGTAGATAGCCGAATGTGTGCTGTCCGTCTGAACGGATCAGTAAGAAGGAGAAAGGACTGCACTACTCGCCGATGCCTTTTCGTAATCTCCGCCTACGCCCCCACTGACTGCAGTTCGGATGAAACGAAGGATGAGTTCTACCAAAAGCTGTCTAGTTTGGTGAGAAAGGCTAAACGCTCAGATATAGTCGTTCTAGCTGGTGACTTCAACGCTCAAGTAGGGAAATTGTGTCAATCTGAGAAGGATGTCGGTGGCACCTATGGAGTTCCGTGCCAGCGAACCGACAACGGTGACCGTCTCCTACAGTTCTGTTCAGATAATCATTTGTTTCTTGTAAGCACTAACTTTAAACACAAGGAGAGACACTGTTTAACCTGGCGACCCCCATCATCAAACCAACGCTGGACACAAATAGACCACATAGCAATAAGCTATCGTTGGCGTGGGTCGGTAGGAGATTGTCGCTCCTTCTGGAACACGTGTGTAGATACCGATCACGCACTGGTCCGGGCTCGTGTGTGCTTACGACTGAACGGACGTAGGAAACAGCTGGCGGTAAAACCATTACGCCCCCAGCTCGATCAGGAAACTAAATCCCTATTTGAGGAAGAACTAGCTAAACGCATATCTGAATCCGACAGCTGTGCTCACCCTGGAGAAGCCTGGAAGAATATTCAGTCAGCTATAGATACAGCTGTAAAAGCTGTGAATAAGACAAATCCAAAGGTGAGTAAAAACCACTGGATTTCGACTGCCTCATCCGAACTGATAGATGCTAGAAGACTTATTCCGGCGAGCTCCGAATTCAATGAGGAGCGAAAGCTGCACAAAAGGAAACTTACTAAAAGTCTCCGCAAGGACCGTGAACAGTGGTGGGTGACAAAGGCGAAAGAGATGGAAAAAGCATTGGCGATAGGCAACACTAGGCAACTCTTTAGACTCATCACAGAATCGGGCGGGAAAAGGCAATTCATAAGTGAGACTATTTCTGAGAAAAATGGCTCCTTAATTAGCTCTCAGGATAGACGCCTTGAACGCTGGAAAGAACACTTTGAGGAACAATTTAACTTGCCTACAGCCACACTGAACCTCCCCGCCATCCACCACGTACCCGAATGGGATATAGACACTGGTCCGCCGTCTGTAGGTGAGGTTACAAAAGCTATCAGTAATTTGAAACGAGGCAAAGCGGCAGGACCCGACGGAATTATTCCGGAGGTGTTTAAATATGGGGGTGACATACTAGTTTGTAGATTAACTGAGGTACTAGGCAAAGTCTGGGAATCAGAGACAGTACCATCAGACTGGGGTAAGTCACTTATTATACCGATATTCAAGAAGGGAAACAAGTCCTCGTGTGATAATCATAGGGGGATCAGCCTAACGAACATAGTCTCTAAAATCCTAGGCTCAGTAATCATGCATAGACTAAGCAGAACTCGGGAGGAACAGACAAGGGAAAATCAAGCAGGCTTTAGACCAGGTAGAGGGTGCATAGATCATATCTTCACTCTTCGACAGATTCTAGAACATAGACACACTTTTCGGCGTCCAACAATTGTCATATTTCTTGACTTGAAGGCGGCCTTCGACTCCGTGGACCGAAAAGTACTATGGCAATGTCTGACTGTGAAGGGAGTGCCAAGAAAGTACATTGCACTAATCAAGGCACTCTATTCAAACTCACGTAGTCGTGTAAGGGCTTATGGGGAATTGTCATCTGAATTGGTAACAACCAGTGGTGTCCGACAGGGATGTCCACTTTCCCCATTTCTGTTTAACTTCATCATAGATATGCTAATGGAAGTATCCTTAACTGAACGTAGTGACTTAGGAATCGACTTGTTACCAGGGAATAATCTTATGGACTTAGAATATGCAGATGACATAGTCCTGTTAGGGGAGGATGCTGACAAAATGCAGAGTCTTCTGAACACCTTGAGCAGCAATCTTCGTATGTTTGGCATGCGATTCGCCCCTGCAAAATGTAAGATGCTGCTACAGGACTGGACGACGTCAACCCCTAACTTAGTGATAGGGAGTGAAGTGATAGAACATGTTGACCACTTCACCTATTTGGGAAGTTGTATTAGCACCAACGGACTGATTGGCGATGAAATCTCAGCACGGATCCGAAAAGCTCGAGCTGCTTTCGCTGACTTACACCATCTCTGGCGTAGGCGTGACATCCGGTTATCAACCAAGGGACGTGTGTACTGCTCATCAGTTCGCTCCGTCCTTCTCTATGGCTCTGAAACATGGCCAATACGCGTTGAAGACATGAAAAGGTTGACTGCTTTCGATCATAGATGTCTGCGATCTCTGTCTCACGTTAGGTGGTTTCACAAGATAAGTAATGTTGACGTTAGGCGTAGAGTGTTGGGCAAAGAGGGAAAATCAATCGACGAGGCTATAAAGTTACATAGACTAAGATGGCTAGGTCACGTGGTGCGCATGCCTAACCACCGCCTCCCCCGACGGGCATTGTTAGCTGATATAGGTTCAGGTTGGAAAAGAGCCAGTGGTGGCCAAACAAAAACATGGCATCAATCCATGAAATCCTTGACAGTTAAACTGAGTCAGGTAGGGAGATGCAGACTCCCGGGTTGGGGCCCTCGGGACTCTAGGAATCAATGGCTGGAGACAATAGGTGACATGGCTCAAAATCGTTGTCAATGGCGCAGATGTATTCAATCTCTGTAATCTTTCATATTCCTTTCTACCATTACCCATTCTGTTTCACTCCTATATTTGTCAAACTCTATTAATTCTCTTCACTCATCTTCTTGTCTACCTCTGTGTGCTATTTGGAACGTGGCAACTCGAACTGCTGCACTTCGGTGCCAAGTTCTATGTTGAATCCAGACAGACAGATGGATGCCTGGATATTCTTCCAGGCTTCTTCAGGGTGAGCACAGTTGTCGAACTCAGATATGTGTTTAGCTAGTTCTTCCTCAAATACGGATTTAGTTTCCTGACCGAGCTGGGGACGTGATGGTTTTACCGCCAGTTGTTTCCTACGTCCGTTCAGTCGTAAGCACACACGAGCGCGGACCAGTGCGTGATCGGTATCTACACACGTGTTCCAGAAGGAGCGACAATCTCCTACCGACCCACGCCAACGATAGCTTATTGCTATGTGGTCTATTTGTGTCCAGCGTTGGTTTGATGATGGGGGTCGCCAGGTCAAACAGTGTCTCTCCTTGTGTTTGAAGTTAGTGCTTACAAGAAACAAATGATTATCAGAGCAGAACTGTAGGAGACGGTCACCGTTGTCGGTTCGCTGGCACGGAACTCCATAGGTGCCACCGACATCCTTCTCAGATTGACACAATTTCCCTACTTGAGCGTTAAAGTCACCAGCTAGAACGACTATGTCTGAGCGTTTAGCCTTTCCCACCAAACTAGACAGCTTTTCGTAGAACTCATCCTTCGTTTCATCTGAACTGCAGTCAGTGGGGGCGTAGGCGGAGGCGCCAGCTAATCCTCGTGAACTAGCTGTGGCATCTCCTGACACCCTCAAGGTGAATTTTGAAGATGTATCCTGTTGGCCATGTGGGGTTAAGGGAATAACCACACTTGGGTCTTGTATGCGTGTTTCTGAAACACAACATACATCAATGGCTCGGGATGCCAGAGTCTTAGCTAGTGATGCTTGTTGTCCTATTTGGCAAAGTGTCCTAACATTAAATGCTCCTATATGAAATTGGTGGCGTGGCTTTAGGAGACTACCGGTGATGTACAGCGAAATCGTAGCCAGTAGAGTACACCATGTGACAAGGCGAAGCGAATTCTCACTGAAAACATTGGTTGTTAAGGATGGGCTTCTAACACGAATCAACAGAATTTTGAATTTACAGCTTATTAAATTCTAGCTAAAGTGGTTAAATGTTCAACGAGATTGGTTTCGTAACCTGAAAGTTTTCGGGTTGGATCATCTCTGAAGGAGTTGTGGGTGGGCATTGTTGAAGAGTCCGGGACTAGGATAAAAGTTATTCAGTGACCGAATAGGATGACACGTTGTCTTCGGGTGTGGGTTCGAGACAGTGAGTGATATGTGGAGAAGATTGTCGGTGGGGGGGGGGGCGGGAAATGAAAGCATCTGGGCAATTATATGAACCAGGTTTAGAAAAAAGGTTTGCAAAGGACAGGTTAAAGTAAGATGTGTTAATGAAGCCCAATGTTTCACTCGGAATCCAAGGGAATAAAATAATAATAATAAAAATGATAATTTAGATATTGAATTTATCAGAAATATAAAACTTGGGATTCATCAACTAAAATGAAAAGAATTCACGGGTCGTTGGATTGGGTCTCGGTGGCTTAATAGTCTACAAGCTCTCCGGCCTAGTAACCCGAAGTTAGTGAATTCGAACTCTGTTGGTGTGTGCGTACTGCTGAGGAGTCCCAAACTAGGACAACAGAAACAGCTGTCCAATACTCCCTGTGGCTGGTTTTCCAACGGTTCTCTAACTGATGACAGCTTATGATGAAATCCTCCAATCAATCAAACCGAAAAATCCCTACAAAAACCGATACTTGAAAATTAATCTGATGCTCACTAGCGACTGGCCCTATTCCAGTGGGAAGCCATGATCAGTAGGGTACATCAGGTTGAAGGTCAGACAGTAACTCATAAAAGAAGACATTCCTAATGGGTCGCGCTATGTAATGAACTGGCGGAAGTTAGAAGTAATGGGTTACTGGTCATCGGACCCGGCCGACAACTGCTACCTTGTCATGGTGGTCGGTCTAGAATACTGCAGTGACCCAACAAGCTAAACTGGCTGGAACTCATTTCCCTGCAGGTCCTACCATGTCAGGAAGCTTGTTTGGATAGCGGTTAGACTAAAAGCAGTTACCACAGAGTACATAGGCTGCAGAATCCAATGGGATCAAATGGAGTATGAACCCATATGGGTCACCGGAAACCATGAGAATGCAGCTCCTGACACTGCTCCGCTGCCTTGCGGATTAGAGTCCAAGTCAAAGGCTCGGGGGCATGGTCGCTTAAGAAAACCACCTGCTTCGGTTTGGGCGCCCGGGCAGTATCTCAGCCCTCACACAACAAATGAAATTTAGTGTGGCGCATCTTTCTTGGTGCCATACTGTACCAAGCTTTTTTTCTGCGTTTAAATACAAATTAAATAATAACTGGCCATCGGATCGCGTCCCAGTGGCCTGATGATCTACGAGCTAGGTTCCTGGCCTTGTAACCAGAAGGTCCTGGGTTCGAAACTCAGCTAGGTGGGTGCGTACTGCTGCAGAGTCCCAAACTAGGACAACAGAAATAGCTGTCCTTGTGGGTGGTTTTCCAATGGTTCTGTAAACTGATGAAATCCCCCAACCAATCAAAATATTATTAATTTAATTTGAAAAAATAAAAAACAAATGTAAAACATCGTAAGAATGTATAATAAATAAATAAACAAGCGAACTAACGATTAATTGCCATATTCAATACTTCCAATAGATTTGCATCCATAGCTGTACAAATATTCAACTTTGTTTTTTGATTAGAATTTTCATTCATTAATGGATAAGCATTATACAGGTAAGAATAGATATGCTTTTCAAATTCAATCACTTCATATTGCATTCGACCAAGTTCACGTTTCCATTCATCTGTTGTAAAACGTTCATTTTGGATAATTACCCTTTGAAAAGGAGAATAAATTTAAACGATAACCAATGTACAGTGTATGATAAACAGATATTTTATGTTTCAGGATTTCATCATGAGCTGACATTAGTTAGAGAACCATTGGAAAACCTGGAAGTACTGGACAGCTGTTTCGTCCTAGTTTGGGACTCTTCATCAGTACGCACCCACCGGGATTCGAACCCAGGACCTTCCGGTTACAAGGTGAGCTCGTATACCATTAAGCCACTGGGATCCGATCCAATGGTCCTTGAATTCTAACTTCTGCCGATTCACGATATAGCGCAACCGCTAGCCAATGTCTTCGGTGAGTATTTGTCCTCACACCCGACCGGCTGCATCCTACTGGTCACGACTTCCCACTGGAACCCAGGTAACTACCTACCTGAATAGGGCCAGTCGAGATATTTTATGAAAAGACAAAAAGAAAGAAATAGAATTTACCTGTCGAGTGTTAAGACAGATTACGTCCATTGCAGGTGTAGTGATTCAACGAACTACCTCTGTATGCAGAGTTCAGGGCGTAGCAAGTGAATTGCGATTGCTTCTGCAGTTTTAAAAGAAGTCTGACTCGTACACTTTCAGGAAGACAACGGAGAAAAACGATGACCCCTCCCGTAGCTCTATCTTAGAACATCTGATAGATTCTGGACACCAAGCCACACCCCCCGCCCTCCGAAACAAACTTCAAAGTCGTCTACAGAATACGAAGCAATCTTCCTAAAAGTGTACGAGTCAGACTTCTTCAAACTGCAGTAGGAATGGCAATTCACTTGCTAAGCCCTGAAGAAGTTCGTTCAATCACTACACTTGCTATAGACGTACTATCATCATTATTGCTCCCTTGGATTCCTAGTGGAACATAGGGCTTCAACTGCACGTCTCCACTTGCCACTTCTGTCTTCTACTGTACTTTTCACCTGCATCCATGTTAGTCTATACTGTTTCAACTCATCTTCACACGATCTTTTCCGTGTCACCCCTACGCTGACGTCTCACTTGCCGCTTCCCCTTCGGGTTCCACTCTACGGCCTGACGCGCAATGTCACCAACCGGCCTCCTCAGCGAGTGTCCATTCCATCTCCACTTTCTCCTGCATATTTGTTGTTTGGCGATTGGTTTGTTCTTGTTTTGTTTGTTCCCATAGTTTCTTGTTGGTGATTCTTTCCGGCCTGGCCATCTGATCTTCAGTATAGAGCCAGCGAAGACAGTTGTTGATAAAGGTCTGCAACAGGCTGTTGGAAATATTCTTTGTGACCCGCACGCCAAGTGTCTGACCCGTATAGGAAGAAGAACTGACTGACTTGACGTTTGTATTGAAAATCCGAATTTTGTTGTTGATGTTGAGTGACGGAGATTTTCAGATTGATTTCAGGTTTATGAATGTGTGTGTTTCTCGCCTTCCCGATTCTCGCTCGATTTGACATCCTCGTCCGTTCCCAATGCCTGTAGTTAAGACAATGCTCCCTAGATAAGTGAGTCAATGAAGTAACCTCTTTCAAATCCCTCCCGTTGATGGTGATTGGCGCTGGATGTTGCTGCTGTTGTTGTGGGTTGGTTGGTTATTTTCATAACCTCCATGCTGTCTATGTTCACTTGAAGTCCTGTCTTCGCCGGCTGCTTTTTCGACCAGTTTGCCAGTTTTCGCTTGTAAGTCTTCGATTTTATGTGACATCAAGCATAAATCATCCACGCGCGAATTCCAGGTCTTCTAGGTTCTTCACGTCGGTCCAGGATATCCCTGTCTTCTCGTTTCCTACTGTCTGACGCATAATCCAGTCCACCACAATTAGGAATATCATTCATTGGTGATAATAAGCACCCTTGTCTGACTCCTGTGTTTACTCCAAGGAGTCAGATTCGCAGATATATATGGTCTGACCATCAAAGAAACGGGGACAAAGAGATAACAGATTAACTTTCAGCGACAATTAGAAGACGCTGTTTCCCTGCTAACAACAACGAATAATAATGTACATAAAAATACATAAATATCTCTTGATTTTCTCAATAAACGATCTGTTGTCTGGCTCTTGTCTTCTGTCGTTACAGGATGACAGTAAGGCTTTCCTGTAACCTTTCTTGAAGAAACGTGTAAAGCCTAGTCTAGAAGTGCAAGGCTGTTGTGTTCACTGAATTAGCCAATCAAAATGCAGATGTGCTGTTAAAGTCCTGTATTCAGGCAGAAATCAAAGGGAATGATAATAATAGTAATAGTGAGTCTAGAGAAACTTAATAATATGTGAAAATGAAACAAGAGACTTGAAGTTTCGCTGTTAACAAACGGAAAGTATGCATAGTTCGTGTGTAGTATCCAAACTATCTTGAAAAATGCTAATACTTGATTGAGTTTTACTCAGGATGGGAGCCTAAGAAGATCAATCCATAGAAAACCTACGTGGAATGGTCAACTAACAAGCTTCTATAGCTGGCTGGCTACCCATTCAACAAAAGTGAAATTTAATTAAATCACTTGTCACCCGCATCCCACGACGCATCTGTAGTCCCGACGTTCTGCAAAACAGAATTAGATATTCTAAGAGAAATATTCATCCAAAATGGATACCCAATAAGATTTATCGACAAAAATATCAAAACAAGAATTCGGAGAAACGAAACTTTAATTGCGCCAAAAAAGAAACTCTCCATGAACTTGGATTTCAAGGGAGAATTAGCAAGCAATATTCTCAAGAGAAGGATCACATCATCTCTGAGAAGAACATTCTTTGCAGCAATGTTAAGAATAGTGTTCCCTAGTCGCCCACTGATCTGTAGAAGCCTCAAGGACAAGATCCCGCATCTGGCTACTTCTATGTGCATATATCAGTTCACCTGCTGCTGTGGAGCCAGGTACATCGGTCATTCGACGCGCGTCCTGTCCAAGAGGATTCAAGAACACTATCCAGCATGGTTGAGAAAAGGCAACAGTGGTGCAATAAGAAGTGCGATAATTGAACACCTGGTTAATACTGATCATTGCATTTCAACAGACGCCTCCTTCAAAGTAATCTACAGGGTCAAGAATAACTTATCAAAGGCAATACAGTTTCGTCTCCTTTGTATCGCTGAAGCTCTGGCCATTCACATAGAAAAACCAGAGCTGTGCATACAAAAGAAGACTACTCAACCACTTCTACTCTCATGGTAACACTGTTTTGCTTTGTTTTGAGTTTTTTATTTTATTTTGATGACTTAATTTTGTTTCTTTGCCTGTTCTTTAATTGCCTATAATTCTTGTATTCAACTTAGATCTCTTACATAATTTCGTATAATACTTGATTGATTAAAAACTCGTCGCTCAAGCCAATCATTTCCTGAGAGGTTCCTTTCTTTTGGTAAACGGAATTTGCCTGTTTGAACTAGTCATGAGATTAGTGAAACAATATATATAGAAATTTGAGAGACATACCTGTAAAAATCTTCATAGAATCTTCCTTGAACATCCTGTTTAAAGGATTGTGTATACGCAGACGGAAGATCTAGAAAAAACAAACAAAAATAAAAAATAGCCACAATAAAGTAGGTGGTTGTGTCTGACTGTAGTAGGGATGGGGTGGGGGGATGATGAAGGTGATGTGGGGTAAAGGAGAAAGATGCTCAGGAAGGCTTAGTGTGCTTTTAGAAGTCTGCGGGCGGTTATTACTTCCCGACTGCCCACACCATGGAAGTCAGTTGATTCTTCAGGTACCTGAAACATAAAGAAGGTTAGTGTTGCGTATCCCCAGAGTCCAGGGGACAACAGCTTGAGCCAGGCCGGTCACACACGGCCTATATGAACTGTTTTCTGCGATTGGTTCCGTATTAGTAAACTTACCGCCGGTTACAGACCACCGTAGGGTAAGTTGTCTGTCTGTCTGTTTTCGACATAGAACTTTGCACAAATGTGCGGAAGTTCAAGTCGCCACATTCCGTGTAGCACGCGAAGCAAGAGAAGAAAGTACAAGAAAAGCATAATAGAAACAGTGAGCAGAGGTGTGAGACAAAGGAGTAATAAAGAAATACAAAACAGTTTCATTGAAGATCATAAGTCACAGGGAGTGGATGCATCTGCGCTGGCCACTGAGAACGATTTTGAGCCATGTCACCAATTGTTTCCAACCATAGATTTTTACCGTCCCGAGGACCCCAGCCTGGAAGTCTACACCTTCCTACGTGGCTAAGACCAACTGTTGTAGATTTCATTGAATGATGCCAAGTTTTTGTTTGACCGCCGCTAGCTTTTTTCCAGCCTGACCCTATATCCGCTAACATTGCTCGTCGAGGGAGGCGATGGCTTGGCATGCATACGTAACACATGCCCTAACCATCTCAGTCTTTGTAACTTCACGACTTCGTCGATTGATTTCCCCTGTTTACCTAGAACTCTGCGCCTAACCTCCATGTTGCTCACCTTATTATGCCACTTTACACGGGAAATAGAACGCAGGCACCTATGATCAAAGACAGCTAGTCTTTTCATGTCTTCCACTCTCAGTGGCCAGGTCTCACAGCTGGCCATAAAGGAGGACGGAGCGGACTGATGAGCAGTACACCCGCCCTTTGGTCGATAGTCGAACATCTCGTCTACGCCAGAGTCGGCGTAAACTAACAAATGCGAAACGAGCCCCTTGTATTCGTGCTGAGATTTCGTCAGAGATCAACCCGTTGGCATTGGCTGATGGTACTTCCCAAATAAGTGAAGCGGTCAACGTGCTCTACCACTTCACTTCCTATTTTTAAACTAGGCGTCGATGTAGTCCAGTCAGTCCTGTAACATCATCTTGCATTTGGCGGGAGCGAATCGCATGCCGAACATTCGTAGATTGCGGCTCAAGGTGTTTAGAAGACTCTGCATTTCGTCAGCGTCTTCGCCTAGAAGGACTATATCGTCTGCATATTCCAAGTCAACGAGATTATTCCCTGGTAGCAAGTTAATTCCTGAGTCACTGAAGTCACCTAGGGTTAAGTCCATTAACACATCTATGATGAAGTTGAATAGAAAAGGGGATAATGGGCATCCTTGACGGACACCACTGGTCGTCATCAGTTCAGATGACAGCTCGCCGTAAGCCCTCACCTGGCTGTATGAGTACGAATAGAGTGCCTTAATCAGTGCAATATATTTTCTTGGAATTCCCTTTACAGCCAAGCATCTCCAGAGAACTTCTCGGTCGACAGAGTCGAATGCTGCCTTTAGGTCAAGAAATATAATGACTGTTGGACGCCGGTAGGAATGCCTATGTTCTAGAATCTGTCGGAGGGTGAAGATATGATCAATACACCCTCTTCCTGGTCTAAAGTTGGGTAAGTTGGGTTGTACAACTGTTGGAGTCGACCTTTTCTAACCCCCCACCTCTCCAGAGTGGAGAGACAGCATAGCTGGCTGGCATGCTGTTCATTTGAGGGAAACACCTCACTGCTGTTACATCCCTGTTCCTCAGCAGTACGACTTTGCCCACAGTCCCCCAGCAAAGTGTAAAAAAGGAGAATTCTTACACTAAGCCGGTAACTGCTTTAAGTTTAATCGCCATCCTAACAACCTTCCTGGCATGGTAGGACCTGCAGGAACAATAGTTCCAGCCAGTGTAGCTTGCCGGGTCATTTCGATATGCACTGTTTACAATCTCGGGAAAGTAGTTATAGTTATATTAAATAATTAAATCACAACATTACCACACTTAAGTTCATTGGAGGAGAACAATTTTAAGTACTTCTATCCATTTGCTTTCCCAGTGGAAAATAAGGCTTCAAAAGCCTGAGCTTAGAAGTTTCTAAAGAAATTTTGTGTTATTTTTACAGGATGGAGCTGCTAATCTCACGCCCAACTTTATCTTTTTACCTGACTTACTCCCAGTAAGAAGAGGTTTATAAGTCCAGTGGTGGTTGGATATCGAATCCCAAACCACATTCGAGGCTGCAATACCAAAAACACACGAAATCAAAACAGAAACCAAACAACCACGTAAATTATTAGAAACTAGTACTAAAGAAATACCTTCTCGTCTGCACTAAAATGGTAGAATACTCACCGACCACACACATGGCCTCGGGTTGTATTCTCAGTTGATGCACTTCCAAACTCTACACAGACGATGGTAGGCGGAGAAGGTTGGGAGTGTGACTAGCAACCTCACCCCTTACAGAACAAAAAACACTGCTTCTCAAAATTCGGGCATCAAGTTTAAAGCCCTTAGTTCCATTCGAGACGAAGAAAAAAATGCAGAGCATGGTGAGTTAAACTCACGTGGGACATTCGGTCAACAGTTTCGAAATCTTCGCCACTCCTCCGGAGCATAACAACAACAAAGTTAGAACTTACAGCACCGATTGTCATGTCAGTCGTCTTCTACATGGGGTTAGAAACTTGGCACTCACTGCCTCCTTTGCTGACTCCACATTTGAGAACGAATATCAAATGACTAATCAGAAAAAAATTGCAACAATAAACTCTGGGAACGAACCAATCACGAACCTACTAATCAAGAAATATTTCGAAGAAAATGAAGATGGATTGCGTACACGCTGAGGATACCGTTAAATGAAATGGTGCACCAGACCATCCTCCAAGTGTAGCCCGACTGGGAAATAACGAGGTGGGTGTTAGTCTGAGGGTAACATGGAAGAGATAAGAGACTATGGGCAATCGTGATGCCAGCTACAGAAGACCGTAGAGAATACGGCAAAGTGGAGATGTGCTATTGAAGCCCTATGCTCCGCCCGGAACCCAAGGGAACAATAATAATAATAATTACTATTATAGGATATTAGGTAGATACTTTCAGTTCTTAATTAATTGCCTCAGTTACTAAACTCCGTGTTCATACAGTCTGGATTTGACTAACTTTTTTCGTAGAACTTTCTAGTGACCTAAGTTATCTTGAGATTGATGTTTCACGATAACTCGTCACCACCCTTGTTCCATCTACTTTTCTTTTCCGAGGAGATCTAATAACTTACACATATGATTGTAGATTATGCATACAGTGTTAGGTTAGGAGGGGAAGTCAATCGATCAGGTTTTGGAGGTACAAATAGATTGAGAGGGCTATGGCGCGTGTTGTACATGTTGAACTACTTCCTTCCTAAACAGGCAATGCTAGTTGACATAGGATTAGGGTGATAGACAGCAAGGAGTGGTCAAAGTAAGAACCTGTCACCAGTCCCTTCACAGTATGGAGGTGAAGACTACCTAGTTGGGGGTTTCTGTTGTTTGAACATAGTTCCCGGAATAGTCTTCTTCGTGTTAGAGATTATGATGATAATACCCAGTTGGCTAGGCTGAAGTTGTTGGCGGAGGGCGATTTGGGTCTAGGACCAACTAAATGAAAGTCCACTGCCTACGTCAATGACTGACTGACTGGTTTCAACATAGAACAACTTTGCACATATGTGTGGCAGTTCAAGTCGCCACACTTCACTCAGTACACAAAGCTAGAGAAGAAGAAAGTGAAAAGAAACGCAAAATAGAGACAATAAAGAGAGATATGAGGCAAAAAGAACAATAATATGGAAGAACAATATAGTTTTATTGGGTATTATAAGCCACAAGGAGTGAATGCATCTGAGCCAGCCATCACCGAGAACGATTTTTGGCCAGTCATATCACCGACTGTCTCCACCCTTTATTGGTATTTACTATCTTGAGGACCCCAACCAGCCAGGATCAAATGTCAGGATGTCTAAGCCTTCCTACGCGGTCAGCTCAAACTAAGTGTTGTCGATTCCATTGACTGATTAAGACATGTTTTGGTTTGGCCTCTACTACTAACTCTTTTCCAACCTTATCCATCCTCTGTCAGCTAATATTACCCTGTTGTAGAGGGAGGCGATGGCTAGGCTAGCATGCGTAACACATGTCCTGACTACCTCAGTCGATGTAACTTCACAGCCTCGTCTATTGATTTCCCCTCTTTACCTAGCACTCGACTGGTGTGTAACCTCAATATTGCTCACCCTATCATACTATTTCACACGGGAGATAGAACGCAGGCACCTATGATCAAAGACAGCTAGCCATGCTTTTCATGTCTTCCACTCTCAATGGCCAGGTCTCACTCACAGGCGCAAAGGAGTTCGGAGCGAACTGCTGAGCAGTACACACGTCCTTTGGTTGATAGCCAGCTGGATATTACATATATGCCAGAGACAGCGTAAACTGACATATGCGAAACGAGCCTTCTGTAACCATGGAGAGATTTTCTCAGCGATCAACCCGTTGGCACAGGTTGATGCAACTTCCCAAAAAAGTGAAGTGGTCAAAACTTTCTACGCCAATGAAACACATCCCGAGATGCCGACAATATAATATATATACATATATATCCATGCGATTGTTCAATTCCAAATAATCCAACTGCTGTGATATTCAACTTCTAGTGAATGAGTCCAAAGTTCCGGTGACTTTCTGTTTACCACACTTAAGCGTTGGTTCATCATAAGCTAGTGGACAATGTTGAAAGTGATAGCTAAGTTGTAATATTCTGTATCATATACGATGGTGGGCTCAACTTCTCCTGAAAGTGACCCGGCGCAACTGAGGGTGGATAGACTTCAGTCTTTCATGTAGCCACAGGATCATAGCCACTGCCACGGAGGTCTTTTCCACCACCTCCACGGTGTGGGAAGGGGTGTTCCTCACATAACTGAAAGGGCGAATGCGAATGTCTGGCACTTGTTCGCCGAAATGGCTAGTGGACACACTGGTCTACCTAGGTGACAGGAGTTGAACCACCCTAACTCCACACCTATGGTGTACATGGGCTCCGGAATCTGGAAGGGATCAAATCGGAGAACATAAGGACGTAGCTTCTAACTCTGCTCCACTGGGTGAGACTTCAGTTCAAAAGCCCGATGTGGGGCGGGTGACTCCTTAGGATAACAACCACCTGCTTCGGTTTGGGTCGTGTGGGGGTGTCCCAGCCACTACTGGCGCCCAAGTTTTAATAACAATACTGATTTATTCAACTTGTTCCACCGAGGGAGAGGGCTCTCGAGTAGTTGCGCCACAGGATGATCCTGCATGCCGGTATCGTTTCGCAAGAGGTAGGGATGGGTGCGTTTTGGTTCTCCTGAAAACCAATACCCAGTCAATGGGTGTATTCCAATGTGTCGGTGGCACAGCGGTTAGGACGCTGGCCGACTATGCACATGGTCCGGGGTTTGATCCCTGGCCAGAGACGCACTCCTTTACCTCGCTAGGCCAGAAATAATGCTGGTAAAGAGGAAAGGTTGGACATGAGGCTAGCAACCCCAGTCTGTAAAATAAACACTGCTACAGAAACTTCAAGCCACTAGCTTGATGCCCTATGTTCCACTGGGGAACGTGAAGGAAAGAAAAAAAATGCATTCAAATTAGCAACCGGATAGAATTCTACAAGTTATACAAAAGACTATTAGAAAAAATTCATTCAATCATAAAAAAAAACTAACTTATGCCCAACTTACCATCAATATAGATACGTGTAAAAAATACAACCGTTGTATCATGATTGCAATTATTCTCCTACAAATTACCAAAGCGCATATAATGACATAATTTCCACCTACCGGCCAAAATCTCAAAAATAATTTCGATAAAAATTTAAACGCTTTCTCCAAATGAAGATCCCCATTGTTGTCAAACCACCACATTTCTTGACTCATTTGTATAAAAATATGTATGACAGCTGTTGATGAACGAAAAATTATCTACAGACACGTGAGTAATTCACACACAAACAAACAAACAAACCTTAGTCTTTGAATCCACATATCCACAAGAATATTTTTCACCCAGCCGCCATAAATCGCCGACTTGAGTTCTACAAATATTTTATTGAGTTTTTTTTGAGTTTTAAAGACACACCGGCAAAACGCCTTCTTACCTCATTTCATTACAAGTCAACTTTTTGTTTACATGGACAACAGTACCAACCTAATGAACAATACAAAAATTTATCGATGAAAAGGAGATGCTTACCAATTTTCGTGTTATATTGTAGAAATCTCTTCGACTGAAATATTGATCGCGAAAGTATAGCTCAACTAAATCCAATGAAACAGTCTTTATAAAAAATAAACGAAATTAATTCATCAAATGTGTACTAACTTCTTTGCTAATAACATTGACAATAACACTTTTATGCTGTTGTAACTTGAAGGTGTGTGCAAGACTCTGTTCAACACTGATAACATCTAACATGACAACAACGACAAAAAAGAGGAGGAGGATGAAATCAATAAGAATCAACGAAAAGTGATATTTCTCACCACGATTTTGTAATTCATCACTAAGATGAGTTACTAGGAATAGTGCATGATGTATATCCTCTGCATGATATACTTCAACAACATCACCGACAGTAATGCTATGACTTCCTCTAGAACTGATAATTACATCTTCTGTACATATTAAAAGGGATAATAATGATAATAATAATGGATGAACACTAACCAGATAAGAAACCTCGTGAATCTATTCGAGGATGATATTGTAATTTAAACTTCTGCTTTAACACCATAAAATCTGAAAAGTTGAAAGTGAAATTGTTAGATACATCTTTATGATGAAAGAAATATTGATAATATATTTAGACGAACACAACAAAATGGCGGAAATTTTTAAGCAAGTATAGATTACTATTATTATGATAATTACTCTCTTGGATACCGAGTAGAATATAGGCCTTCAACAGCATTTCTCCGTTTTACCCTCCTTTTTGCAGTCGTCTTCAGTTGGCTGGCCCCACGATTCCCCATAGTCCTTCATCTCCGCCTGCTCATACGCACGCCCAGCTTTTTGTCTCCCATTCAGGTTCTACTCAAGCGATGTCACTTCAGACTCTGTCCGATCCATTTCCCTTTTCCTCACCGCATTTGTTGAGTACAATAGGCACTTGATCGGTTTGTTCCAAGAGTTCCTTATTGTTGCTAATTCATTCGACCGGCCATTTAATCTTCAGTATGGAGCCAACAATATGGCAGCTATTGATAAAAGTTTGCGGTGGCCTGTTGGAAATGCTTTCTGTGACCCATCAAGTTTCTGACCTATATATAACAGTGCTTTTTTTTAATCTGCTGAATGCAGAAGACTTTTAAACTGGTTTCAGGGTGATGAAAGTCTGTGTTGACCATATTATTCTGGTTTTGACATCTTCATTTGTGCGGAGTGTCTGTAGTTGAAAAGATGCTGCTTAGCCAAGTAAGTGAAGGAAGTGACCTCATTCAAATTTCTCCCGTTAATAGTGATTGGTGGTCACTAGGATATCTTCATCACTGTTCTTTTTGCGTTCATTTGAAATCCTGTCTTTACTGTCTGCCTCTTCTGATAACTTGTTGACTTTTTCCTATAAGTCCTCGAGTTTGTGTTAAAAATTAAACATACGTTATTCGCAAAGTCCAGATCTTCTAGAATCCTTTTATTGGTTCAACTTATAACGCGTTTTCTTGATCCCCACAGTTTTCTGCGTAACCCACGAAATGGGTGATAATGTGCAGACTTGTCTCACTCCTGTCTTCACTTGAAAGAGTCTACTGAGTTTTATGTTGTACATCACTTGACAATTAGCCTTTTCACATACCTGTTGTATGAGATTGATAACAATCTGGCACGGGGCACGCCATGGTGTTGAAGTAGTTTCCAAATTACTTTTCGATCGAGATGAGGTGGAGGTTTGACTGCCATCCTAGGCTCTGCTTGACGACAATTCTTAAAGTTGCTATTTGATCCGTATATGATTTGCTTTTCCTGAATCCAGCTTATCCTGTGTTGACGGAGTTCTTCAGGATGATGCAACTTAGTCCTTAACTTGGCGTGGACAAGCATGTACAGATAGGCATACATAATGAAATACCACATACACAATTATACAATAGGTTACGAATGACACATATTATAGGCTGACTGTATGTTATAGCTGTTTAAAACTTTGTATCTGCATAAAGATTGCAGAGTGAAATTCACTGGTATTTATCAGATGGAACAAATTATCAAATGCCAAAAAGTCTTTGACAGACATTAGCATTCAAATTTCACTAACGAGTAACTGTTCAGAGTAGCTAGAATTTCTCAAATCGTATGAAATGGTCAGAATGCCTGAACACTTTACTACTTATTCTTGAAAATAAGAAATCTAAAGTACAACACACCACTTTATCTTAATACATTTAAAACCTAAGCTATTACAACACCTGTAACAATCGTTTAAGGCCTTTGGATAATACCAATAGCTAGTTATGAATTTCAGCGGAAATCAATAGACGAGATTGTGAAGGTGAGTCGATTGAGATGGTTAGGAGATGTGTTACGCGTGCTAGCCTAGCCATTATCTGCCTCGACAAGAGGCAATGTTAGCTGACATAGGGTCAAGTTGGGAAAGAGCCAGTGGTGGTCAAACCAAAACATAGCCTCAGTCAATGAAATCCACAACAGTTAGTTCAAGTTACGTAGGAAGGTGCAGACATCCTGACTGGTTGGGGTCCTCAGGACGATAAACACCAATGAGAGATGGAGAGAATTAGTGATATGGCCCAAAATCGATCTCAATGGCTGGTGTAGATGCATCCTCTCCTTGTGACTTATACTGGCCAATAGAGCCACATGGATCTTCGATACTAATATTACTTTTGCTTCATATCTATGTTTACTGTCTCTCTTTTGCATTTCTTTTTACTTTCTTCTTCTCTGGCTTTGTGTGCTACAAGGAGGGAGTGTGGCGACTCGGACTGCAGCACATCTGTGCAAAGTTGTTCTATGTTAAAACCAGTCAGTCAAACAGTTCACTAATTATCACTTTCAAGTACATCCTTCCTTCCTTCCTTCTTTGTCATTTATTTAGCTTCTAAAACTGAATAACAGTGAAAGATGTATGGCCTATACCAAATCCTCAGCCATACATCACAAAAGTTGGCAGGACCGAATTCAAACGCGTGTTAAGGTTCAAGATCGAGATGGGAATCTGATGTCTTGAAATCCTTTGTGCTAATACAATAAATGCATTAAAGTTCTTATGTATTCTGTGACAAGAATTCGCTTTCGGCATCTACCAGGCTATTTTCATCACCATAAGACATAACTACCTAAATCACCTCCTTAAAGATAATCGACTGAAAATAGATTGTGGAAAGTACAATAGCCGCTTTGGTAATGGAGTATTTATGCTCACACGAGAAACTGAAAGTTTTTCTTAGATGGTATTTACAAATATACGTCTAGGTGACATGCTTCATCGTTATCCCCATTGAAACCATAATAATCTAAGCCCACAAAGGGCTGGTGACTAGGTATGCTTTACGGGTTAAGCATCTCAGTAAGAAAAAGGTGCGCGACATATTTAAAAATAATTTCATAGAGATTTTCATTTTAACACCGACACCACTATCATGGACGACACTGATAACTTAACAGTCAATCACTTAGTAAGAATGTCGTGCAGTATCTATCGATGGGCAAACCATCTTGTCAACATAGAAAAAGCTAAGGAGTTGAGTGTCTTTTTGAGCCTACTCTAAAGTTTCAAAAGAAAGACGAGAGTATAGAAGTCGACAAAGCTCTCTAAGAGACTGAAGCGTCTCATCTGGACAAACACAAAAGTAAAACTTTATATATAAGAGTTGGAAATCACCCAATGACCTCAGTACATACCGCACTTTACCTAAGTGCATATATTTATAGCCCCATGTGCTAAACTGTGAAAATTAGAAACCACTACGGAGCTATATAGAGTTATATAATTACCCAAAACTTCTTTGGAAGCCAAGCACTTTCCTGCAGAATAAAAAGGGACGGAAGACGGTGCTAGTATAAACATTTAGTTGACTTTGTCCTCCAGATTTATCATATATATGATAAATCATATATGATAAAAACTAATAGTGCAATTATATTAGCATCCCCCGGATGTTAGACTTAGTGTGTTTTAAGGGTTTCTAGTAAAACCAACACCCGCAGAACACATCACACACACACACACCAGTACACAATATGTCTTACGTTTTCCCAAAACAGGATGTCTAGCTATCCAACTACTGGTACATATATGGGTCACTTTGTAATATGTCATTAGAAACACTGTGAAAACCTGTCTGATTCCAACAGCTTTAAAAATTACCCCATAGGCAAAAGTAAATCTTAAAATAAAATACACCTGCGTACCGCCAATATTTGTCCTTTTGCCCTAACCCAAGGTCACTGTAAAATATGACTTCAAATTTCACTTCAATATAAATCACTTTGACAGCTGTATCTTCATGTTCTTATTCCACAGTATAAAACTGCTTTACGAATAACTGACAGGAGTTTCCCACCATTTTCTGACAAATATGAGAAAACTCAAACAACTGAGTTAGAATAGCGAACATGCAGATTTCCGGCCGAGAATAAAATCGTTCAAGTCCTTGTTAAACCTATTCTAATAAGCGCTTATGCTTGTCTAATCTCCCCTTGGGGGATCAAATTGATTGCACGAACAGAACTTCTCTTGAGTGCGAGAACCAGCATTCCACAGAGACGGTTCCACCTTTGAATTTCAACTGTCCAGGTATTTCTCCTAGAATGTGACTTTCTAGTAAAAAGGACAAGATAAGGTACATTAGGTCTACTGAAGCTTTTTAGAGATTCTAACTTCGTAATATGAAATCCTCTCCGCAAATGGTATGATAGGCAGTAGAGGTTTAAACTGTCAGGTCTTTCCGGCTGGACCTATCCAACATGTTGGCCGAAACTTCTCTTATTGAATGTTTTGTCAAAATTTTTTAATAAAATTGTGTTGTGTCTCCTAGACTGATAGGAATTCTCATTTCCTGACATCTACTGGTATCCACGTCATGCGATCCGACTGCGGTGCACTCTTAGCCAATTGGTTGTTTAAAGGTTGACGGATATCTCGTTCAGCAACTTCTAATTAATTTATTCTCGCGTACCAAAGACAAAGCAAAAGCCAATAATTGATCGTCCAAACTTCGTAATATATTCTGGGACCAAAACAAGCCTTCAGACGAACGCTTAACTAGCTAGTGATCGTGCACGTGACACGACGGGGTACCAAATGGCGGGGATGCTTGACCGGAAGCCTTCAGCTAAACAAGTCGACTTCAATAGTGGTGGTCAGCATCCAATGAGTGATTACTGTGGTCAATAATTTTGGGGAATTATTTACCGCTAAAGTTGCAATGATTAGCGTTTGAGGTGGATTTTGTCAAAATATCGCTATAATGAACATAATGGGATAGAGGGTAATGCCGCCTACACGAATAGTTCACTTCATGTAGAAGCTTCATCTTTCGGCATGGAGTCGCCTAATGACTTCAAGTTTCAGGATATAAGTGCATCCTGTTTTCGTGTGAAGAACAGTACCATTTGACAAAAGAATGCTGTCACTACACGGATTTAATAATAATAATAATTTTTCCTTCACGTTCCCAGTGGAACATAGGGCTCCAAGCTAGTGGCTTGAAGTTTCTGTCGCAGTGTTTAATTTTTACAGGATGGGGTTGCTAGCCTCAAGCCCAACCTTTCCTCTTTACCAGCATTATTTCTGGCTCAGTGAGGTAAAGGAGTGCGCCGGACGGGGATCGAACCCCGGACCATATGCATGATCGGCGATCGTGCTAACCGCTATACCACCGACGCTACATGGAAATCATTTATAAATGCTAAAAGAACCTTCCGTGGGGACCTAATTAAGTTATCATTTATGTGAGTGTTTCACCTTATATATTTTTGGACAGGAATTATGGCAAGCTGAAGTGTTGTCTCGAACATATTTGCACTGACTGGTCCAGTGTAATATGGATTGTATTGGAGTCCTGTTGAGTTTCCTCTCTTTGGGAAAAAAATTGAGGTCATGCTAGAGGGTTTGAAACCATGTGATGAAATTAATCTAATGTACTTGTTGAGGTATTTTGCCGGTAGTATGGAGAGTGAAATACAGTGTTGCAAGTTTCTGCCACCTGGGGAGGGATATTCGGATGCTAT